TACCTAAGACGATGGGAAATGGACTCAGAGCGACTGCTTAGGCTGGAGTAGACTGAGTGAGTCACCTCAGAAGGTTCTGGGGACTGAATCAGAGATATTCATAAAGGCCTAGAGAAACTGATTTCCCATCCCATTTGTTCTAGATCTACAGAGGCAGCTCCAAAAAGGCAAAGGCAAGGACCTTTAGGTGTATGGCTTACTGTGGACCTCATTGTAAACCCTTGAACTAAGTGAGACAAAATGTGATAGGCTCCAACTCCATCACTAATATGACTTGTGCTTTCTCTTTTCTACAATTTTCTACAATTCTGAATTAAAATATTTTTTCAATAAGTATTACCATTGCAATTTTTTAAAAAATAAAAGTTTGTAGTTTTTGGTTTGTTTTGTCTAAATCACCAAGTCCCTTCTATCCATATAGCAGGATGAGGTTAATGTTCTAGTTCTTTCTTTAGTCACCCAACAAGAACAAATATCAAATCTCCTCAATTCTAAGGAACATAGTTTGGGTTTAGGATTTTTTTTTTAATGATGACAAAATGTGAATGTATTTTATAAATCAATGCTTATTTTTATAGTGGTGGAGGTTTTTGTTTTTGCTTTTCCATAAAGCTATTATTATATTTCACTAAGTCTAATGACAGCTACACCTGGAATCCTGGTATGACTCAACAGCACTTAACAGCAGCAACAACAATGACAGCTACCGTGCTAACCAACTGAAAGAAATTCATATTCATGTCTGTCTTAGGCTAGGTTTTCTAGAGAAGCAAAACCATTGAAACATATGTATGTATATATATATAGAGAGAGAGAGAGAAAGAAGTTTATTATCAAGAGAAAAACATAATTGCAAAGTCACAGGTCCCCAGCGGAAGAGAGAGAGTCCCTCCAGCCTGTCCATTATATTGGGAATAGGCCACACCCCCAAGAAAGCATTCCTTCAATTGATTGGTTGCTCATGGCTGCTCATCATAGAGCTAACTCTGCCTGTATTAGGTTTCATCACCATGGGAATAAGCACACCTCAACTGCTAAACCTCTGGAAATCCTGGCCTAGTCAAGTTGACACAGAACCATAACCATTACAGTTTACATTACAAAGAAAGGTGGTTCAATAGAATGTGGAATTTTACAAGCAGTAGCATTAATATTACACACAAGTAAAATGTTATTTTACTTGTGTACACCTGACCCAAGCCATGATATTTTCAATAACCTCATATGCATGCAAAAGTTGCATAGTGAATAAGGAAGATCATAGAAGAATTGATGCAATTGAGTTATGGTGTTGGAGGAGAATATTAAAAGTACCATGGGCTGAAAAAAGAACAAACAGGTCTGTGTTGGAAGAAGTACAGCCAGAGTGCTCCTTGGAGGCCAGGATAGCCAGACTTCATCTCTCATACTGCCAACATATCATCGGAGAGGGATATCATGTTTGGCAAGGTCAAGAGTCAGAGAAAAAGAGGAAGATGGTTTGGCAGAGTGGCATCATCAATTGACTCCAGCGTAACAACAATTGTGAAGTTGGCCCAGGACTGGAAAGTGTTTAATTCTGTTATGTATAGGGTCGCTTTGAGTCGGTACTGACTCAATGGCACCTAACAATAACACAAAAATTTTTTATTGAAGACAGTTCAACAATGGTTGTATCAGTGTATCAACAGGGAACTGCCAAAAATTCAAACCAGATTCAGAAGAGGATGCAGAACAAGGAATATCATTGCTAATTCCAAAGGAATCTTGGCTGAAAGTAGAGAATACCAGAAAGATATTTACCTGTGCTTCATTGACTACACAAAGGCATTCAACTACGAGGATCACAACAAATTGTGGATAACATTACAAAGAAAGGGGATTTCAGTACACCTCATTGTGCTCAATCAGAATGCATATGTAGACCAAGAGGAAGACATTTGAGTAGAACAAGGGGCTATTTCATGGTTTAAAATCAGAAAAGGAATGATTTAAAGCTGTGTCCTTTCATCATAATTACTCTATCTGCGTGCTGAGCAAATAATCTTAGAAGTTGGATTTTGTTGTTGTTCTTGTTAAGTGCCACTGAGTCAGTTTCAACCCATAGCAACCCTGGATAGGGTTTCCGAGGAGCAGCTAGTGAGCTTGAACCACTGACCTACTGGTTCAAACCAGCTTTGCAATCCAGCACACTAACCCACAGTACCACACCAGGACTACCAGATGAAAAAGAATACAACATCAGGATTAGAGGAATACTCATTAACAACATGTGATATACACAACCTTACTTGCTGAAACCAACGAGGAATTGAAGAACAAAGAATACAGTCTTCAATGTGACTTCAACCTCAACATAAAGAAAACAAAAGTCTTCACAACTGGGCCAATAAGCAACATCGCAATAAACAGAATAAAGATTGAAGTTGTTCAACATTTTATTTTACTTGTATCCACAATCAACACCCATGGAAGCGGCACTCAAGAAATTAAACAATGTATTGCATTGAGCAAATCTACTGCAAAAGACCTCTGTAAAGTGTTAAAAAGAAAAGACTAAGGTGCACCTGTTCTCATATGCATGCTAAAGCTAAACAATGAATAAGGAAAACCAAAGAACTGATGTATTTGAATGATGATGTTAGTGGAGAATATTAAATAAAAACACCATGGACTATCAGAAGAGTGAACAAATCAGTATTGGAAAAACAACAATCAGACTGCTCCTTAGGACCACAGCCAGAATGTTCCATACTTTGGCCATGTTATCAGAAAGGACCAGTCCCTAGAAAGGACATAATGCTTGGTAAAGTGGAGGGTCAGAGACAAAAAGGAAGACTTTTAAGGATGCAGATTAACACACTGCCTACAAAAATGGGATTAAGTAGAGCAATGATTGTGAGAATGGCTCAGGAGTCTGCACTGTTTCATCTGCTGCATATAGGCTCACTATGAGTCAGAACTGACTCAATGACACCTAACAACAATAAACACACCTATCTATGGTAGGATGATGCATCATTATGTTATAAATCATAAGAAGTAATAAACAACGGAAATTAAATTATGACAAAATGTTTTTATAATCTTATCATTGTTTTAGTTTAAATTTATTGAAAGTGGGTCTTTTTTGTTTTGTTTTGTTTTGTTTTGAATTGCAATGGTATTTTATTTTAAATAATCACAAGATTTGACACTTCAAATAAAAGATACCACTAATAAATAACAAAAGTGGAAATGCTTGTTATCAAAGTTACAACAGACATAATGTTCACTTCACACAGAATAAAGCTCTAAACATACCAAACAAACCAATCCTTAACTGGGGTATGGCGTGCAAATGCAGCGTTCTCACTGTGGACTCACAGAAGAGCTGCTGGTTCTACGTAGTCAGAAGTCAGGTGCACAACTAGCTCTAGCACAGGTGTGCTGCAGATTCAGTTGTCTACAGTTGTAATAATCTACGAGAAATACTAAGGAATGTCCCCCTGGAGAAAAATTAAAATTTGAAGGTTTCTTTCTTTAATTACCAGTAACCAGTATATATTTAGTTTTCCTACAAACAGCAGAATTAAGTTACACATCTAATGTTACTTGGGACTACCTCCTGACTAGAATTCATGCTCTCAGTCTGTCAGATGTGCAGGTTAGAGAATACTTAACACCTGAGGAGAGTTAAAGGAGCACACATTTCTCAACAGGACTGTCAGTAACTCCCAGCTCTTCACAGAGAATGGTTATGCCATCTAAACGAAACCAACAGTTTTGTGTATTCAAATGCTTTTCTTGACCTTAACATTTTAGTCACTAGAAATGAAATGTATTACCTACCTTGTAGAGAGGTACTATACATAATAAACGGGCAAAGAACAAAAAAATGATGAAAAAAACACTAATCCTCCTAAACATGGCCATGCCCATCTTTTGTGTCTACTTCATACATTCCATCCATCCCCCCAGAAAGTGTTTTTGAAGATTAATTCAGACATAGATTTTTCTTATACCACTCTTGGGATTACATTAAAAAGAAAGATTAAGTGAAATAAATTGGTTACAATTTTCCTAAAACTTTTACACATTTGGAATCCAATCCTTCTGCATCATTTTTCAATTCAGAGTCACTAATGTTCATGTTAAGGAGCTCTGGTAGCGTAGTGGTTACGAATCGGGCTGCGAGCAGCAAGGTCAGCAGTTCAAAACTACCGTTAGTTCCGCGGGAGAAAGATGAGGCGGTCTGCTCCCGTAAAGATTTACAGCCCCGGAAACCCTGAGTAGGGTCACTATGAGTCGGAACCGACTCCACGGCACACAACAACAACAACAATGTTCGTGTTGGTAAAACATAACTATCAAATTGCTACAATTTGATGAACTGGACCTTTGCTTATGGATGCAGAAGTTCAAAATTCCAACCAAAATGAAAAGATTTTTAACATGAAGGATCAAGCCTGTTTTCTCAGTGCACTGGGCTGATTGCTGTTGTTGTTAAGTGCCATCAAGTCTATTCTGACCCATAGCGACCCTGTATAGAGTTTCTGAGGAGTAGCTTGAACCACCAACACTGCAGTTCAAATGGTTTTGCAGTCTGGTGCATTAACCCACAGTGCCACGCTGGGTTGATAGGAACAGGCAATTTAGACACTGGATATCAAAAATGGGAGGCTATAAAGACACAAAGTGGCTGACATACAAATTTTTGTGAGTGTGTTTAGTTTCAGAATTAGAGGGGTAACTTAGAATCCTACTAAATAGTTTTCCTCTTTTCCAGATGGATCTGGTGAAAGGGATTGGGGGATGATGTTGATAGGATTTTATGATTCAGTTGTGAATAATTGTTAGCAGGATTAATTTCTATATCACAACTGTAGAAAATGTGTAACCAAAAGTGGGGTGGGGGTAGTTAATCTTTCATTTCAGGGGTGATCCCACGACCATCAAGAAGGAAGAGCATGGCCTACCGGAAATGACAGATGGACTTCGTTGGACCCTGAGACTGTGGAGGGCGAGGCGCCGCCACAACGATGGGCCATGACTTTGGGAACCTAAGGCGGATGCTGCATGTGATTACCTACGTCTTGCTGCCCTTCCAACAGCGCGCCTTCCTGAACTACTTCAGCAAGGGCATCCCCAACATGCTGTGCCACACCCATACATCTGTCCTGCGCGTGGTGCCCCTGTTTTACCTTGTCTATACCTGGGGGACCAGAGTTTTTGAGAAGTCCAAGAGGAAGAATCCAGCCACCTATGAAAATGACAACTCACTTGGATGGTTTCCTATCTCTGAAAGACCCTTCTCTGGGAGAGGAGTTTATCCAGTGTCTTGAAGACACAATAAAATAGAGCGGGGGGGGAAATAAGGAAGAGCATGAGTGGAGCATGAGACCCTACCGAGAAACTCAGTGAGAGCAGAGACAGAGGCAGAGGCTATGGCATAGAGAGATGGAGTGGCGCAGATCTAGGCCCATGAACTGAGAGAAGCTGTGTGCCTGCGTGCAGGAGGCTGACTACAAAATATGCCCTTTGGATATTTAAATGAATATATATTTTTGTTTTGTATGTGTACATCGAATATTTTTGCTTTGTTGATTTTTTTTTAAATAAGATGTAAAAGGAAAGCCAAAGGGAGGAAGCAGGATAACTGTTGTTGCAGGGAGAAGATTATAATCATTTAGATGAAACAAACATATGAATGATTGAAACTAAAACTGATGATCTTGTCTGTTAACCTTCATTCAATTCACAATAATTTTTTTTAACATAACTATTTTCTGTACCCTAAAGGGTGTTAGTAGCACAACCCTTAATAGTTGTTATTGTTGTTGTTAAGTGCTCTTGAGTCGGTTCTGACTCATAGAGGCCCTGTATGGGGTTTCTGAGGAGTTACTGATGGGTTTGAACTGCTAACTTTGCAGTTAGCAGTCCAGTGCTCTTACAGCACCACATTTTCCAAGCCACTATCATCCATTCTTCAAAGCTTTAAAACTGACACTTACTTGATCCTTCAGAAGTTGCAATAGAACGTTTCCAGACAACAACCAAAGATTCACATTCCTTACTTAAGTGAGCCTTAAACGGTTTGTTGACTGGAAAGTCAAGGTGTGACATTGTCTTGTCATACCAACAGGAATGACAATCAAGTTTGGGTGTGTGTGTGTAAGTGTATACACACACGTGCACACAAACAGGCAGGCTGCGATCACTGCATCATGATTACTGATGACCTACAACCACTGGAAGGCACCATCTTTGGTAAGATAACCCTCAGTTATATATATATATGCAGTAATGTAGGATAAAGCACCAGACTGCAAGATTGGTTTGAACCACAAGGTCAGCAGTACAAACTTATCAGTCGCTCCTTGGAAACCCTATACAGGGTCACTACAAGCTGGAAACAATTCAACAGCACTTAGCAGCAACATATGTATCTATAATGTCATTGTTGTTGTTGTTGTTGTTAAGTGCCATAGAGTCAGTTCCGACCCATAGCAACCCTGTATAGGGTTTCCAAGGAGCAGCTGGTGGGCTTGAACCACGACCTTGCAGCTCAAACTGACTTTGCAGTCCAGCGCATTAATCAATGTCATCGTAGAATCTATGAAATGTGATCTTAAACCTAGGGGACTTAAAATCATAGAAATATGGCACTAATACCCTACCTATATGACCTTGCTAAATGTAAGGAAAAGTTTTGTCATTAAGTGCCATGAGTTAATTCAAGTTCATAGTAACTCTATGTGACAGAAAAAATTATCACATAGAATTTTCTAGGCTATAATCTTTACTGGAGGAAATTGTCAGGTCTTTACTCCCGCAGAACAACTGGGTGGCTTCGAACCACCAACCTTTAGGTTAGCAGCCAAGTGCTTGACCACTGTGCTACCAGGGCCCTTACCAGGATAAGTGTAGAGGTAGACAAGAAAGAGCTATGTATTTGGTGTGGATTTTTGCCTCAGGTAATCAAGGGAGCGGCAGGAAGACTTCTACAGACCACCTAGACTCTCCTCACTCTATGGTCCAGGACCTGTGGGCCCAGTGAACAGCTGACTCAGCAAAAACAAAGCCAGTCATTCCCTGGAGCACGTGGTTTCCAGAAGCTCTCAGAACCACTACACACATAATCCTAACAGCTGAGTCAAATCATATTACCTCGTGCCAGGAAAAAATATTGAAAACTTAGAGATAGATTAAAAAAGATTACTAGGTTATCATAGTCTCTCATTGTCTTTGAACTATTTTAAGTTGTTAAAACCTGGAAAAAATGAAAATTATTCCCATTAACAGAAAGTATATCCCATGGAATGTAATTATTGCCCTCTTGACAATCCAGTTTTGCATCTATTTGTACATTTATTTCAGCATTTCTTATTGCCTATATGGAATAAGTCAATTCTGACTCATAACTACCCTGTATAGGGAATCCTGGTATGACGCTGTGGGTTAATGCACTGGACTGCAAACTTGGTTTGAACAGCAAGGTCAGCAGTTCAAGCTCACCAGCCACTCCTCAGAAACCCTATACAGGGTCACTATGGGTCAGAACCAACTCGACAGCCCTTAACAACAATATCATAGGGTTTCCAGTGCTATAAGCTTTTACAGCAGCAGAAAGCCTCATCTTTCTTCCATGGAGCAGCTGGTAGATTCGAACTGGTTACCTTTGGCTTAGCAGCCCAGCTCATAACCACTATGCTTTTGGACATATTGTTACTGTTGTTAAGTGACATCAAGTCAATAGTGACTCATATCTACCCTGTTTCTGAAGAGCGGCTGGTGAGTTTGATCCACCATCCTTGCAATTCAAATGATCTTGAGGGATGGTACTTATCCTACAGTGCCACACCAGGACTCCAGGACATAACTAGGCACAGTTTTCTAAATTCCCCCTTGAGCCAACTGTAGCATCTCCCTGGCTTCCTCATTAATTCACAAGCTAAATAAAATCTTTGACATGTGTTCCTTTTGTATTGTATGAGACTCATGATTTTACCCTTTTTAAAAATATTATCCATTAACAATCTGCAGGATGAAATGTTAGTCATTCAAAACTATGTTTACAGAATTCTTGCTTGAATAACAATAAAACAGCTAAAGAAATAATGTGGGGGGCCGGAAATAAGACACATCTAAAATTACAATGTCATTCAATTATGTCAAAAAACACAGAGAAAATCAAATGGAATGAAATAACACAAAATATAAATAGGGATTGCCAATAAGTACTAAGTTTATGAGTGTGGTTTTTTGGTTTGCTAGTTTCCCTGCTTCTGTACTTGTCACATTTTTACAAGGAACAAGAATTGCTTTTATAAACACACATACCAAAAAAAATTCTTTGTAGGAGAAAGAATAAAACATCTACTATAGGATCAGCATTGGACTACTAACCACAAGGTCAACAGTTCAAACCTACCAGCCACCCTCAGGAGCCATTATATAGGGTCAGAGTTGGAACCAACTTCACAGCACACAACAACAACATACTAAAAGTTAGGGCTATGGCACCATGCTACTGAGAGAGCAGGGCTTAAGAAACAGTCTCTGTAAACAAATAGTAAAATGCCTCCACAGGGGAGACCAAACTGACAGTGTGCCAGGACCCTGAAGGGCCGCTAGCATTTCTTGGATAGTTTAGTATTTCTCTTTAAATGGAAATATGCATGACCCAGTGTTTGCTCCTGTTGTTGTTGTTGTTAGGTTCCGCTGAGTTGGTTTCAACCCATAGTGACCCCACATATGAAAGAACTAAACAATACGGTATTTGCTCCTAGAAAAACAATTTCTAGACTGTTGTTTAGTGCAGTCGAGTCAGTCATAGCGACCCTGTGTAGGGTTTCCGAGGAGCAGCTGGTGGGTTTGAGCTACCAACCTTGCAGTTAGCAGTCCAATGCTTATTCTATTGTGCCACACTATATAAAATCAGTAAAAATTTCAATTATATGTATTGCCTGAAAAAACACCTACTCAGTTAATGCCGTGCCTTTCATCTCCAGCTCTAGATTCTCCTTGGGAGTGCTGTGGCACTTTAGGATCAGCACTGGACTGCTAACCACAAGGTCAGTGGTTCAAACCCACCAGCAGCTCCTCGGAAATCCTATACAGGGTTACTGTGAATCAGAACCAACTTGATGACCCTTAACAACAACAACAGGTGCTTCTTAGGCAGTTTAGTGAATGCTTATTAACCATTCCTGTCAGAAATAGAACCAGGGGCTGGTTCTAACAGAATCACATTCCAGAACCTTCTAGAATTACACAAACAACATTGCAAAACCTTGTGTTTGACAGATGGCAGTCACCGATGCAAAAAGATACATGCCACATATAAATGAAGTTTAATGTTCCAACAATGTAATTTAAAATGGGTTTGTGTCTACACATTATTATGTCTTCCTGGTGGTGCAATATGTTTCCTCCATATCTTGTCACAGGAGTGTGGTAGCTCTCTAGGGTAAGCACTAGACTATGAACCAACAGATCAGCTGTTTGAGCTCACCAGTCACTCCATGGGAGAAAGATGAGACTTGCTGCTCCCACAAAGATTTATAGCCTTAAAAACTCACGGGGTCACTATGAATCTGAACCGACTTGACAGCACTTAACAACACAACATTATCTTTTCATAGTTTAATAGCCCTCTCTTTTTCTCTCTCCTTTTTTCTTAAACATCTGCATTGGAAAGTGTCACTTTGATTTATTAATGTACTCGTGTTAACTTTTATAATCCACCAGCATTCCAGGTAGCATGACAATCTGCTCTAATTGACTATAAAAATTTTTGTTTCGTTTGGTTTGGTTTACACACTGAAAACTCTGGAGTCAACCTGCCACAACAACAACAATCTTTTAGAAACAGGGTGTCCATTCTGCTGCCCCCACTCTTCTGCTTAGGGGCTCCTGATAATCGATTGCAGCCTGAGACAGGTCTCTCTGTCCTGACTCTGGAGCACTGCTGAGGAGAACCACACAGTGGTATGAACTAGCCAGGGCCTCCAGCCTAATTGTGCCCTAGCGCCATTTTGCTTCTCAGCTAAGGTTTTCCTCAGCTAAAGCCATCCCCACTTCCTTCAAGCCCCACCTCACCCTGCTTTTCTCTCTTTGTCTCGCAAGTCAGAGAGATCCCAAGCAGACAGACTTGGACTCCCTTGGCTGCTCCTTCACAGCTGTACCATCTTTCCTTCCCTTAACCCTCAAGGATCCCCTTGGATGTCAACTTCTCTGACTCTGAGCAGACTTTGGTCATCAGTGGTCTCACTCCCAGCCCCATCACTGATATTTTCAGCTGTCCCTTTTACCCACTCACCCTTCACCCCGCAGCAAAGGG